TGTATCCACACTCTGATTTTTTTAAAGGTGGGTTGGTTTTTTTTTAGTGTAATGAGATGCTGTAGTTCTAGTAAGGAAATTGCCTATTTGAAAAAGTTAGGTGAGACTTCTAAAAACTGGAACACCAAAAATTACCTTAGCTGATAAATTAGTTACAGCTGAAGGGAAAGGAGAAAGAGGAGTGACTGATTTATGTCAGAACAACTGCGTTAGTAAATGGTAGGGAGCAGTGCATTTTTTCCTGTGTAAGATTCTTAATTTACTGTTACATATCAGAAGTTTTATAGAAAGTTTTGATACAGGCTGGATGATGTTTTTCACAATAATGATAATAAAAAAAAAAAAAAATAATGGGGTCTTTTTACTTGTAGCCTAGCTTTGACATATACTAAGTTCACATCTTCATATATTTTTCTAGTTCTGAATGTTACAAACCTTTTTGTAGGTTTTGTTGTGTTTTTTTTTAAATTCACCTGAGAAGTATGAATAGTCACTAACATTCAGGAGCTGGAGGAACATGTTGTGAGCTAGAATCGAGAAAGTTGGCAAGATTGAAAAACACAGTAAGAGGGAAGTATAGGAATGGAATTATCTTTAAAGTAGTGGAGAAATTGATTTTTTAATTTTCTGATTGCAGTGATGTAGTTTAAATTAGGGTTACAAAAACTGCTTTTATGAACCATCAAGCATAACTTCTAACTGGAAATACTGACCTTGAAAGTGGATGCGAGTTCACTGTTTACAGAACTTCACTCCGTTGCACCACCGCATCAACTACCTTTGATTTAAATTATCTTTTGCTATTTTTTTTCTGAGTTGTAAGGGAGGCTGTATGGAATTGTTAAACAGGAAGACAGGAGCTGCTAAACATCTTTAAAAGGAGAGCTGTAGGCTGAAGTGTAGAAAATTAATTAATACTCTTCAGATACTTGAAATACAAGTCTTCACATATGGCCTATTGAGATTTTGCCATAGAATTGTAGCCCAAGCAGAAGTGTTGATCAGAGTTTCTATCTGGAAATATTCTGTATCTCTAGTGCAAAACACTACTGAAGGCCACTGTAAACAACACAGTTTTAGTTAAAAAGCTGATCCCAGGATGAAAGATAGATGAAATCAGCTACAGGCTGTATGAGGAATTCCTCATGAGGAATTAACGGTAAAGCTTTTCATAATCTGTCATGCTTTGGCTAAAAATATTAGCACCATAAAAATTCTTCAGGGGGCAGAGTTGAGGTGGTACCTGCAGAGTGATCAAAACATAAAAGAGGCACATTTTCCCTTTTTATGGGGAGGCCTCTTTCAGACCTGTCATAGGATGGATTTGAAATGAAAGTTTAATGGACTCTCAGTTTCTCAGACAGCCATCTTTCTACAACTTCATTATTAACAACAATTTAATCTTAGCCAGCTCTCTTTCTTTTTTCTGAGGTCTTGGTAATTCATTTATTTTATTTGTCTAGCAGCAATATAAGAAAAAATACTTGGATCACAAAGTTAAGGAAACATTCCATATTAAAAAGCAATATAAACCCAGTCTCCAATAAATTTGCAGAAGCATTTACTCCACAGTTGTTTGAATTAAAATGTAGCAAGTGTAAATAGCATGAATGGATTGCATGTTTAACCTGTATGCAGTAGTTTGTGAGCCATAATTTTTCCTCCCACCACTATATGACTAATGATGATGCCATTTTCATGGCTGATGTTGTATAAAATATTTTTCAACTGTTCATGGTATAGAGACTGTTTTGTTAATGTGTCAGAAAATGAGACCTGAGAAGCAAGTGGATGTATGATAGCTCTTGGGAAAATAATCATGCAGCATTAAGTAAAATAAAATTTCAAAATGTGGGAATACATTTTTACAGGGTCTGATCCAGAGCCATTAATATAATTTAAATTTTTTTCTTCAGTTGCAAACCAAATGTACCAGGTTCTTGATTATGCCGGCTATTTCAGTGCTCTTTTGGGAATGATACAGACTAACTTTGCTTTCCTTCAGAAGTCCAAAAAGGTGGGAAGTCCTCCACTGTGACTCATGCCTTTTGAGTTTATGTGGGTGCAGCTCTGTCTAGCCACTCAAATCCACCGAGTATTTTGCATAGGGAGAAGTAAAAGTCTGAAACTTCACCTATCAAGGCTCTTTACAGGGGCAGTCCTATGTATTTCCTTGAAAGAAAAGACAAGGACAATGTTGCTATCCCTTTACCCAGTATGTTCTGTTCTGAGTTCTTCTATGCTGGATTGTCTTTAAGCCTGGATATCAGCTCAGTCTTCTAGTAGGGGTACAGAACTTGCTCTGTGGATCAAGGTAGTGATCTGTGCAGTTCCCTGTATTTTGTAGCGACCAACAGTAAGGTGTTTCATAAGATATTGTAAGAATATGCAGTTGGCGAATATAAAATAAACTGCTCGAGTTATAGGTCTTAGCCTAATGTACATAGGATATTATGATATGAAGTTCAAACCTTCAATATCAGGATGTTCCTTTGCAGCTATTTACTTTTATTAATTAAAAAAAACCCCTACCAGTCCAATCCCTTCTTGAATCTTATTGAAGTGTTCCCCTCAACAGCTTCTTGTTGGGTTGAAGCTGATAGGCCTATAGACACACATCGTGTGAAAAGTATTCTTCTTGAATTTACAAACCTTTTTTTTCATTACTTTCCCTTTTTTTGTTGTTTTGAATTGATTGATTTGAATAATTAATTTTTAATCCATATCCATGTCTATATTTGTCTGCATCTTTATCTGTAACTATGGAATTTTCTCACTACAGAAGGTTTTCTTTCAACAAGGGGATACTCGAATAATGAAGTGATTGACACGGTTTCTGAAATGTGGCAATAGTATTGCACTTAAAATCACTAATTTGTATAAAAGAACAATGATATTTGCAGTGTGGTTCTCTATTGCTGTCTTTTTTTATCTCAATGCGCCTTTTTGTGACCGTTTCTCACCACACAGTCACACTGATGTTCTTCACTGAGAGGCCTGCAGCAAAAGCAGAAAGACTGCTTCTATTGATTAACTCAGTTAATTCAGATGTCTGGAATATGTAGGAACAATTTAAGTCTCTTCTCTAATGTGTATTACTTTGGAATTAACAGCGTAAATTTAATTTCCCATCATTTAGGCCATGCATGTAGGCTTTTTAAGTTTTTCCCAGCAGCATAAATAGTTGTGTATAGTGCTGAGAGCATTTTAACTGAGTATTGCAGTTGTTGTGACAGGACAAAGAAGAAACAGTCTCTGGAATAACTGGGTCCTCGACCCTAAATTTTTATAAGTTCAAAACTCAATACCTTGAATTTGCATTAAAAAGTAAATTGCCAAACAATATACAATGTGATGGGTTTGGCTGGGTTAGAGTTAATTTTCTTCACAGTAGCTAGTACGGGGCTACGTTCTGGATTTGGCTGGGAACAGTGTTGATAACACAGGGATGTTTTAGTTAGCAGGGCTTACACAGAGTCAGGGCCTTTTCTGCCTCTCACCCCACCCCACCAGCGAGTGGGCTGGGGGTGCACAAGAAGCTGGGAGGGAACACGGCTGGGACAGCTGACCCCAACTGACCAAAGGAATATTCCGTACCATATGACATCATGCTCAGCCTATAAAGCTGGGGGAAGAAGGAGGAAGGGGGGGACGTTTAGAGCGATGGCGTTTGTCTTCCCAAGTAACCGTTACGCATGATGGAGCCCTGCTTTCCTGGAGGTGGCTGAACACCTGCCTGCCGATGGGAAGGAGTGAACGAATTCTTTGTTTTGCTTTGCTTGTGCACGCGGGTTTTGCTTTCCCTATTAAACTGTCTTTACCTCAACCCATGAATTTTGTCACTTTTACTCTTCTGATTCTCTCCCCCATCCCACCGGGGGGGAGTGAGCGAGCAGCTGCATGGGGCTTAGTTGCCAGCTGGGGTTAAACCACGACATACAGCCAAGGATATTAGATTTTGTTGTCTGTTTTAAAGTCTGTGTTTAAAAGCAAATTCTTTTGTAATAAAATTGAAAATCTTTGAGTAGAGCCTTTAGAGAAAGGGTCATGTCTCTCCTGTGTAATTAAAACAATGTCTGATGTCAAGTTGGTATGTCAAGATACTTTTATATTTTCAAATATATAACTGTAATATTGCATAGAATTATGCACATGTATGTGGCAGGAGTTTCTGACCATAAGGACTTAAAATTATAGTTACATAGACAGATAAAGGAAGTAGGAACAAGAAGGAACAGAGGCACCTAGAAATCAGTGACTTGCCCATGATGACAAAGGGAATGCACTGCACAACTGGATATTGAATCCATATTTTATCATTCCCTGGCTAGTATCTGATTTGCAAAGTCGCTTTTCCTTACGCAAGAGATCCTACTGGCATTTTCAGAGAGCTCGTCATTCCAAACAGTGCTGCAGATCAGGGCTCTGCAGATGTTCTGGCAAAAAAATCATGTTCTGAAAAGGAAATGGAAGGAGTAGCCAAATGGCTTCATGAAGAATAACTGGAATATTTGGCAACCCAGGATACTCATGTGTCTCTAAGTTGTTTGGTGCTTCTGCATTGTATAATGTACTGATTTTCTGTATCTGCCTCTGTGTTTTGTTCTGTCTAAATCACGAAATAGTCAATTCAATGGGAAGGAAGTGGAGGAAAACCACTTCCTCAGCATCCATGTGTGTTCAGTGTATGCCGCTGGCTGGCTGAGAGTCACATGACAACCTATGAGAAACTGTTGAAAAAGGTTTCCAAGCTATCTTTGATTTTTCTTTCTTTTCTTGCAGCATAAACATACCAAGTGTTTGGACAAAGCTTTCTAAGCTTTTTTTTTTAGCACAGCTACTAATATAACTCTTCTTTTCAGCAGCCACACAGCTTTGTCCCCTGGCATCAGAGAACACCTAACAGTGTAATACACCTTTGGGGATTTGATTGGGCACCAGTATGTGAAGGTGATTTCCTCTGATCAAAGTCCTTGTGTTTCTGTCCCCATCCTCTACAGCGTTGCGGAGTCGATCAGGACGGTCCATCATCAATGGAAACTGGGCAATTGATCGACCTGGGAGATATGAAGGTGGTGGGACAATGTTCACTTATAAACGCCCAAATGAAATCTCCAGCACTGCAGGAGAGTCGTTTTTAGCTGATGGTCCAACAAATGAAGTCCTTGATGTCTATGTAAGTTTCTTGTATTTAGATTAATCTTCCTGATGGAAAAAAAATTGTTCAGTTCATTGTTAACACGCAATACTAAAATTGCATTCAGTACCAATACTTTATTACTGTTTTGTTCCTTTAATTTTGAAACATTATTTCTGGTATTTTACTATTGCTATTGTTGCTCCCATCTTGCTCCAGATCGTAGGAAATCTAAATAACGATGAAGCCTTTTTCTCTCAGACTTTACTGATCCAGAAAAACCAATTTTACTTGCTCAGTAAAATAGGGATAAAGCATACAAATATCTGGGATTTTTTTGTGAACTTGATTTTCTCCGGATACTTTTCTACTCAAGCAAATTTGGCATAGTTTAATTTTACAGTGAACTGAAGCAAATACCTAAATCAGACAAGGCCTCTCACAGAGTGATACCATCTCAGTTTTCTTTAAAAGAAACATAAGTCCAAAACACTATAGAATGTGGGATTTGAAGCAGAGCAGTTTTAATACGAAGCTGTGCTAGGAGACCATAGATAATAGCCATTTGAGAAAGGAAGAGAGAAGACAAATTGTGGCTAAGAGGGGGGAATCATATTGAAAAAGCTGTTTACTTCAGATGGGACTTTTACTGCATCATATTGAAATAAAAAATATAACTGGAACTGATTACAACTTATGCAAAGATAAATGGTTTGTTCTGAGATTATACACTTTCACATGTCAAAATCCATTCACTGAAAAAAATAGATTAGCTGGCGATATGGTTGTTTCATCCAGCGACGGCTTTTTTTGCCCTTAAGTGCAATATGGAGTGGAAAAGTGAGTGTGCTGGGTTGTTTCATAGAAAAATGAATAGTAACTACCCTGATTACTCAGCTGGGAAAAGTCAGATATTGGCAAAGTTATTCCCCATCTGCTATATGGTGTCTTAATAAAGCAATGTAATAATTATGCAAACGTTACTTCTTTTTGGATAATTTTTGATTGATTGCAATGTAAGACTGGCAAAAGCCTGGAAGATTAAACGGTTGGGCTCCTAGATTCTGCAATGCAGACTCTGTGTTTTTAAAATGTACGTGTCATTGTGTAATTACAGGATGCTGTGAGCTGAGGTTTGGTCTTAAGTTTTTATTGTCAGCTGATTGATGCCTAATATGTAATGACCCAGAGAGAAAAGGATCAGGAAATGGATTAAACAGATATTTCCAAAGTAATACCATAAAAAACCCTTAAGCTTACATTTATCGTATTTTAATGTTTTAGTTTAGGCTTAGGCTCTTCTTTTTTTGCTTTTGCAATGAATATAAGAAAGCTGGCATGATGGGCATAGCTTTATCAGTTTTGCTCTGTGGCTGCTACTATGGATTGCCACATCTAATTTAACTTCACTCTTACCTGAGATGTTTCTTGTAGATGTGAGGAATACTACAGTTCATTATAAGCTGATAGTTTAGTGTCTTTTTCAATATAGTGTGGGAAGATAAAAATGGATAGTGCTAGATGAAAGAAAATCGATCATCAGTATGACACAGCCTCCCTTACGGGTTGGAAATTTGTAGCTGCGCAGATACAGGTATCTTTTTTCAGGCTTTGTCTTGCAGTTCCTGAATCACGAAATTCTCTTTTTATCCATACTCACGATCTTTGTGCTCTGTGTAGAAAAATGAAGAGATTTGCAGATGGGAACTCCAAATGGCTTTCTGTTCCTTTTTCTTGAGATCATGCTGTCTTTCTTCCACTCTAAAAACATGGAGGAAAAAGCTCTCTAAGTTACAGCAGGTTATAATTAGCAAGATAGAGAGAGATGCAAGTTCTGCCCAAGTGTGAAGTAAACATTGCTACAAAGACTTAGGTCTAGTAACTCAAAGCAAAACTATTGTATAATTCCAGGTATTTTCCTGCAGGAAAGCTGTGACAATATATTCATAGAGACTTCATCAGTTACGCTCTTTATAACATGTGCCTGTCAGTTGTTTTGAGAAATGTGATGGCAAAACCATGGGAACCATTGGAAAGCTGTTCCTGGAGCCATCTTAAGAGCAGGGTCCTGGTTCTGGAAGGTGGGGGTACTCTTCCGCTGAAGTCAGCTTCACAGTGCTCAGTTCTCTCAGGACCAAACACAAAGAAGGTGTATTTCTGGGGTGACAAAGTGACATGGGAAGGACCAACCCTTACAAAAAATATTACAGGCAATGCATTATTAGATGGTTCAGAAAAGTGAATGATCTCTGAGGGACAGAGTTTAGAGGAACAGCTATTATGTTTGGCAAGGAAAAAGTGATTTTGACACAAGGGAAAACGAAGGTCTGAATCTCTAGTTGGTGTTAATTGGTGTGACGAGTTTAGTGAAACCTTGAAGTGTAAGTGTGCTCTGCTGGGTCATAAAGCCATTGGCATAGCATGATTTTTTTCTTTTCGGCCCATGGTTTGTCGGAGCCAAAGAGCTAGTGCAAGCTCTGGTGTTTGGTTTGGTTCTGTTTTTTTTGAAAAAGGTACTTCAAGTTAAAGTGTAATCTGAGGCTTCTACCAATCCCCATAAAGAGTTCAGGACTTTTAAAGCAGCAGTGTCAGTAGAAGCAGTACTGAAGTAATCAAAGCTAAACTAGTGAAATTAGCAGCTGATGGCATCCCTGCATTTCTAGTGTGAGTATGCTCAGGCTCTCAGCAGCAGCAATGTAATACAAGCCAGTTGGGTATGGAGTTTGCTGCTAACAGTTTTAAAAAGCTTTCATAAAGTCGTATCTCGCTCAGGTCTTATTACACCTAACTGCTTAAACAAGCACACAAGAAGTGATACTGACTTTCAGAGATGTGTTCATGGCAGCTCACATGGGCTTGTGCAGCAGCGTTCTGAAACCACTCGGCTTCGTTTTCACATTTAAAGGAGAAAACCTTATGGTTCCTGCCTGTGTTTCATAAAGAACACTTTGATGGAGTTGTTGTGGCTAGCTGTAAAGCAGTGGGAGTCTGTCTGCACTTACGTTACATCTTCATTCAGTTGAAAATTAACGTGGAAGGATGCAGGAGGGTTGCATGAGTGCTCTTCAGCTGCTGTAACAAGTATGTGGGCCTTGTAATCTGTTCACTTGATCTTTGTTAAGCAATGCTTATGGTGAGAGCGGCATAATGTTAGTAATTTTAGCTAGTTGATTGTTGAGTCCCCATTGAGTGGTGCAGAGGTAGCTGCGCTGTGGTGAAAGGAACAGTTTGATTTGTGAGATGGTACACGCGGAACACCACATACGTGCTGTCTGCATGTGCTCCGTTCAAGTACAACTGATAAACCTTAAAAAAGGCAGTTGGCTAGATTGGTAGATTGAGGTCTGTGGTATTTATTTTTCTGTGCTTTGTTTCCTTCTTGCTTATGTGTCCTCAGGCATCTGTCAAACTCCTTATGTCTGAGAATGTTTTGGTGACCGTAGGACTCTCTTCTGCTGCTGAGGCCTGGTGTGAGCCTCTGCTGCCCACACCTTGGCCCCGGGCATGTCAGTTTTACATTTGCCAAAGAAGATTTAGAGAAACAGTTTCTCTGCCATCACAAGCTAGATCAGTTTGCAAACATAGTAACCTGTATTTTCTTATTTTTTCCAGAAACAAATATCTTTTTTTGCATTTTTTGGAGACAGTCATTAACCATTGTTTCTATCCTGACCAATGATAAATAATGTTACGTAGTTTATCAGTTCAAGTGCATATTTAAGTATTAGTAATATAACAAGTGGAAGAACTGAATATATGGCTGTTTTTCTTTTTAGATGATACATCAGCAGCCTAACCCAGGTATACATTATGAGTATATCATTCCAGGAGACAATGTCATTAGTCCTCAGTTGCTTGCTCACAGGAGGCCAGGTAAAATGCCACCATTTCCTGTTATTAAACACCCAATAAGCTACTGGAAAATTTCATACCATTAAATTCAGTGTAAATGCTGCCATTGGTGTGGGAGAGGTGAAAGAGAAGTCTGCATCAATTTGGTAACTTCAGTGAATTAATACTGGCAGGGATTATTTATACTGTAGTAGGGAATCTGGTCACATATTTCTACTTTCAGTAACAATTTTGTTGTTAAAATGTTAACCGTGGCTTTGCGTGAGCTGGAGTGTTGTAACCATGTCTCAGAAATGAAATAGAACATGATTTTTCTTTTCAGAATTTGAGATAATTTAAAACAACCCTTTGCAGTTTCTCTTTCCTCTCCCAACTGGAGAGGATCAAACACAAAACCGTTGCCATCCCAAAGCTAGAATCTGGACAGCTCATCCTCCTGACCAAGGTGTGGGTATGTGCTGTGTGTACTGGTATGAAGTTCTGAAGGACAGTAGAAAATTTGCAAGCAAGTTTGGTGCTACTTTTAATGTTCGTGACTTGCCTTGACAAATTTCTAAGTTTGCAGTCTGTTCGTAATGAGGAGCAGCTGTGCTGTGACATGGGGAGGCACAGAATACAAAGCATGGTACAAAAAAAAAGGCTTTGGGAAATTTTGACACTGGGTGCTTTAACTCTACAGTGTGTTTGGAGGTTCTTCAGTTTTTTGTGTATTTGCTGGCTGAGACTTGGTTATCTTCATTTAAAACAACACAGTCTTTGCAGGACACTATTAGGAGGTCTCTGCATAGCAGATTAAAGCTGCTTTCAAGTTTTATGATGCTCCAGTTGTGATTATTAGTGGATGAAAACATAGACTGATATTTGAAAGTGAGGCTTATTATTTTACTTTTTTGTTATTGTCCATCATCAGGGGAGCCCTTGAACGGTCAGTTAGGAATGCCAGAAAGTACAAATCATGAGGATGAGGATTTGCATAGAGAGACAGATACTCTCACTGGACAGTCAGCTGGAACTTTTCCAGTTATTCAGCCAGGAAGATTTCCTTCTCATCAGCCAGAAAACCAGGTGCCTGCTGTGCAACCACCAAGACAAAACCGAGAACACAACTGGAAACAGATTGGAAAAACTGAGTGCACTACTACATGTGGGAAAGGTAAGTGCTTCATACACCATGCACAGAAAAGAGATGACACATGGGAGGGTTCCACCGTGGGAGAGGAGAAGCGTGGAGGGAAGAAGCAGTGTGACTGTTCAGCAGCTTTTGTATGCACGAAGCATTGCTGGACCTGGTGTTTTCTGTTATCTTACAAGCAAAAGACACATCAGTACTATTATGTGTGCTTATATCTAAATCAGTAGAAACAACAAAATAAAAAATATGAAATACAAAGTATGTAAATTAAAAGGGAATGTGGCATTTGCCTCTGAAAGGAAATATTTCAGGTTTTTATGGCAAGCTGCTCTCCCTCACACCCTTGATACACAGCTGCTTTCCTCAACATTCTTTGGCATTCTTTGTCCTTCTATTTGGCTTCTCCAGCTTTGTCAGGTACACCTTCAGTGCTTTTTGTGTCTTTGTCAACAGTTTTCTGATCTTTACAGGAAGGTTTCACAGGGATTCCATCAGCCATATCTTTGCCTCATTGGATATTGCTGGAACAGCAATAATGTGACTTCAGAAAACAGGTTTTCACAGGGGAGAAGTGGGAAGGAAGAGGGATGGAAGGGGATTGGTAATTAGTGAGCTTTTGGGATGTGGTGGATACTTTGAGCTTGCCAGATTAATCTTTGCCATAAGACATTCACAGTGACCACATATTCAGTAATGCATAGCACAAACAATTCTTTGGAAGAATAAGTTTTTGTGATAGCAGAAGTGAAATCTTTTGTACTAACATAGCCACCCATCACCATACCTCAAAAAATCGCAGAGCTTTGAAATAAAGACCTACAAGTGAGGGAACTCAGCTGATTGTCACCAGTTCATATACATTGAGAACATTTGCTTCCTAATTAGTTTGAGAGGGCACTTTGCGAATTTGGTCCAAGGCCAGATGAGTGTCCATGTTATAGCTACAGATAGAGCTAAAAAATCCAGCAATATTGATACCAGTAAAAATTGCTTCCCAGTATATTGAGAAAACTTCTTTTCTTGGAGGAATTACTGCAAAAGTGTTAGAGCTAAAATACAGCCTATAAAAGTCAGGAGACTTTTTAAAGTCAACCTTTTTGTGGAGAAAAGGAGGGAATGTAAACCAGAATTATTTTGGTTGGCATTTAAATATACTCTGTGTCTTTAATACAAGTCATATGGGCAGAATACTTAATTGCACCTGATTTTTGTTTAGCAGCAATCAGTGAGTATCATCTGCTGAGTGTCTGGATTATCATATACGTGATGAATTTTAGTATCCAAATTAGGTAATTTAGGATGCAATTGCAGGAACACATCAGGGTAAATGCATTCTTCCTTTACGTCATAGAAGTCTTGGTTCTTGTATTTCGTATGGACCTTATGGACGTTTGAACATAGTTCTTGCCATTTCTTCAGAGATCTGGTAGCTATTGGCAGTGGTATTAATGAAATCTGAGTCAAAATGATGAGAGCAAAATTGTAGGAGAACAGAATTCAAAGGATATCTTTCAGCCTCCTATACAGCTTAAATTCACTCCATGAAATTTAGCAAAAGAACTGTCAAAAATGAGTATCTCTTTTCCCGTTATTTGGAGAATGACGTGTGCGTGTTCTGATCAAGTAACAGTCAAAAGAAACTGGACCTTGAGAGCAGGATCCTGACACTGTTGAGATTCTGTGAACATTCCTTGTGATCTTGGTGTGAGAAGCGTTTAAGATGACTGAGCGAATAGATCTGCTAGAATTTGGACAGTGTGGAAACCGCCACCGCATCCTATCAGGGAAGTGAAGTAGCATTTCTTCTGTCTCTGTTGTCCAGAGAGAAGAGGGCTGGTGCACTGCAAATTCCTCCAGTCCTGGAGCCACAGGAACTCCGTCTAAATTTTGTCTGAAAGATCATACAGGACGAGTACCTCATTTAATCTTCTCTGAGGACTGCCTGTGCCTTAAAACTGTTATTTATACCTTGGAAATGACTTGGGATGTGTAATTTGTTATTAGTCATGGCAGCATGTTTGTCACTTTTCTAAAGAAGAATTAGGAAGGACATAAAAGAGTGCAAAATGCTGATTTTTTTCCTTAGATTTCAGAAGATATAATAGCTTTTTCTGAAGTATTAGTGTAAGTTAGCTGGTGAGATACAAAGCCTTACTTGTGATAGAATTAAATTCTTGAACAAATACAACTTTAGTGGGAATTGTATTTTTAAATTTTCTATCCTGAAATTGAAGTGTGCCAGCCAACAGTTACCATCAACTACAGCAACCCTTATTTTATTTAAAGTCATAAAGTCATGATTTAGAATTACTACAGATCTCTGGTGCAATATTTTTTTGAATACATGGCTGAATGTATTGATCTCCCTTCTTTCTATTTCTTGATCACAAGAAATAGAAATACCTGTTGGTTGCGTGACAAAGGCAATTGATTTCAGTAAACCCAGGATGAGATGTTTGAATTGTTAATTTCAAAATATGATAATACAATTTTAAAAATTATTTAGCAGTTGCCATTAAATCTATAGAGGTTTTGAGCTCCAGAGGAGGTAATTAACCACAGATCTTAGACAAAGACTGCAAGTTCAAGTGGATAATTAGAAATTGAAAGCTGGAGAAAACTGATCTTCAATCCAGTGGCCTAAGACTTGTAGTGTCAATAATCTTATGAATCAGTGTCACTGACAGTGCAGGCTTTAGTAAACCCACATTTGGGGTATGTAAGCTTTAACTGTTACAACCTAGCCCTTTTCTACACTCTTTTTAGACACAAATGCCAACTAAGATGCAGCTGAGTTTTCTGTGCAAATTGCCTAGGTCTTCTGGGTAAGATGGGACTTCTTTTTGCCTTTGACTCAGAGGCATGGCAGTTGGTTTTTGTAAATGTGCAGACATATATTTTGATCTAAGGAAAAGAAAAGTCTATTTTGCAGAAAGGTGAAGCTATTGTACTAATAACTTGTGCCCTGCTTCTTGCTACCTTGCCAGTAACGTGGAAAAAACCCACTTTTCTATAATCTTTCCGATGCTTGGTCTAGAGACACTGTTGTATAGGGTGCATTCCTGAGATAGAGCGGTAGCTTTCCTAGATAAACGTAGGTGTTACAGACAAGAGCAGTGTGAATGTGAGCAATATGAGTTCTGTTGAAAAAGTGCTTGCTTAAACCACCTGAATTTTGGTTTTTATCTCGTTCTATTTCTGATTGCAAACACTGAGAATTAGGCATTTATGACTCTGTCGTCAGGTTGTACACTGTATTTCCCCAAATTCTGAAGTATAGTGTTAATATCAAGGTCAGTCAGTATAGTTTTACTTTAAAAATACAGCCTTATTCAAAGGCAAAATGACAAACATGAAATCTGAGAAGGAAAGCATTCCAGGAAAAGGAGGAAAGCATTACAGGAAAGGTTTGTGGGAAGAATTGTAAACTGTGTATCTGCTTGTCTGGTTCAATAGCATTCCACTTGTGCTTATTTCATTCTGTGGAAGAAAGTTAGGTCTAACCTAAGCAAAATGTTTCTCTTTCAGTTCAGAGTTAATTTTCCTGTTCATGGTTTCTTCCTCTGCGTAATTCTGAGTATCCCCACTAATAAGGCTTCAATACCAATAAATAGTCATTTGGAGTTACTTCTTGTAGGATAGCCTAAAACAACTAAAATCACCCAATTTTTAAGTCAGTGGGTCTAGCTTCAAGTGGTTGAACTGGCAGTTGTGGGCTGTACTGTGACCACTTCGGCTGAGCCCTGTTTCTCTTGTAACAAAATGGCTCCTATTACCATGGAGGTGCCCTCTGCCATTGCTGTACCATAGTGAGAGGAGGGATTGCTGCCACTTTACACAGTATAAACATGGCAGAGAGAGAATCAGCAGACTTTTGTACTACTTTCTAAAAAGAACTAAAAAGAAAATTTTTCCTAGTCTTCCGTTTGCTGTTTATGTACTTGTAGAGTTGCCTTTCACATTCCTTGCCAGATTCAACTCCAGGAGGGCCTTGCCTTTCCTAACCACATCCCGGCACAATCAGACAGCATCTCTGTACTCCAGGATCACCTGCCCCTGCTTACACCTCTTGTACTTCCTTTTTATGTCTAAGTTTAGTTAGGAACTCCTTGCTTATCCATGCAGGCCTCGTGCCAGCTTTGCTTGATTTCTACTTGTTGAGACAGACCTTTCTTGAGCTTGGAGGTGGTCGTCTTTTATTATCAACCAACTCTCCAGGACCCCTCTTCTTTCCAGGGCTTTATCCCATGGGATTCTTCCAAGCAGATCTCTGAAGAGGTTTGGGTCTGCTCTTCTGAAATTCATGGTTATGGTCCTGCTTTTTGCCCTGCTCCCTCCTCTTAGAATCCTGAACTGTACCATTTCGTGGTCACTGCAGCCAAAGCTGCAGTCACATCCCTGACTTTTTCTTCCTTGTTTTTGTGTATCAGGTCTAGCAGAGCACCTTTCCAGGTTGGCTCCTTGATCACCTGTGTCAGGAAACTTGTTAACGTACTCCAACTTTTCACTTACCAAATACACGTAGGCATGTTAGCACCTTGCTCTTTGTCATCATTTTGGTAGTCAATTTGCAATAGTAATAGGAGTAGAGTTCTGTCTTTCTGCTCTAGCATGAAAATTATTTAAAGACTGAGCATTAAATATGGAGAGTAGTAATTTTTAGTGAGCCTTAGACTTACAAATCTTTTCAAAAACCAGGTAAAGTGGATAATATTCTCATGTGTTTACTCACCACGTAACTCTAAAGTAAGGAGGCTCAGTCTCTTTCCAGAAGCACAACAGATTGACTGCTAAATTTGTCCTCCTCTCAAACCTGTGTTGTGGCCACTTGGCTGCAATATAAAGATCTCATGCAGACCAAGGAGCATGTTTTTTCAGCCTGTCCTACAATGCTATGCTGTACTTTCTGTATACTAAGGACTTCCCTTAATGCTACAATGTAAACAATACAGCATTCAACTCTCACATTTGGAAATTTTGGATAAAATCTTAGTCTGTATTTCCTGTTGTTAAGTTACGCTTTTCCTTTCTGCATCAGTGTTGGATGCTACTGTTATGGCTTATACTGCAGAGTCTTTTGCAATGCATCACCTAATTTTCTTCTTCATTTCAGGGTCACAGTACCCAGTTTTCCACTGCGTCAACAGAATCACTCATGAGGAGGTATCTGAGAGTTACTGTGACAGCAGCACCAAACCCATTCCAGAAGAGGAGGCCTGCAACCTCTTCCCATGTCCAGCTTTGTAAGATACTACAATTTAAGTCAAGTGAAATAAGCCAATGTCACTGAGGTTTTGCATGTGAAAGAGGCTATTCTAAGTAGGAAACTAGTTTGAACTTCTAAGTACTATGCACTTGTGTCATAAAGTGTAGTGGATGTTTTTTCCTTAGTTGTTGGTGGCCCTCCCCTTCACAGGGAGCAATAGCATTCAGAGAAGACAAAAGGGAAGTTGGCAACAAGTGAGTGTAGTAGTTTCTCAAAATTTGTGTGATAGTTCAGGCATGCACACTACATGGTCTCTCTATGTGTACATTTTTTCAAGTGACAGGCTTCTGCATATACCTGTCTAAAGAAGAGGCTCTGTAGGTTATATCACTCCATAGTGGATCAATGTGCTGTAGTACCCACCCATTCATTCCATGGTGCCATATTTAAAGAAGAGATTAGGCCAATAGTGCTCACAACAGCCCCCTCATAAACATCACCTCTCTTTCCTGGAATTCAGTAGTTCTTCGACTCAAAGACTGGATTCTGAAGTGGTAGTCCTTGTTTCCAGCACACTAATACACCAGCTCAGGTTTCATTTCCTTCTGAAAAGACATTTGCCATCAGGAGACTGTGACTTACAATTGGCTAAGCAACTTCTTTTAAATAGTCAAAAAAAAAAAAAAAAAAAAAAAAAAAAGGTCAGTTAATCCAGGGTGTATACCAAGAAGAGAAAAGGATTAAACCCAGTTGCCGTTATAGCAGCTTTATTTCAGGTCAGCAGCTGTATTTTCCATCTCTCTTGTGGTTACATTCTTCAGTTCTTTTCTGAGCAGCAAGTGGCCACTCCTTACCCCACAGAGGTTTCTAATGGCGTAAGTGCTGTTACAGCGTTAGAGATGCCTGACAAGCAATTTCCTAGTGCATATTAGATACTCAGGAACTTCTGAAGCCATTTACTTGGAGACAACTTCTCTCACCCAGCATTTTTCTCACCTTTTTCTTTCTAACAACTCATTAGTTCAGCTTCATTTGTTTACACAGGATAATATCAAGAATATAAACAAAGATATGTAAATATTTATTAAAAAATACAGAGATTTCGCTTGCTCTCCACAAGAGTTCTGAAATAAAATGTGTGAACAATTCAGATACTTCCCTTATTTGTGTATGTCTTCATGCTTGAAATGAAAACTGAAAGGGAAAAATGACATGTTTATATAAAAGTGATTAAATAAATACAGTGAAATCTTGGAATAAGAAGAATATATCTAGGATTTTTTTTCATCTCTAAACTTAAATGTATTTATTCATTGCTTATAATTTGCTACTTCAATTTTACTGATGAATGAATGCCTGCATGCATTACGTGATTTTTGTGGTATTGTCCTTTTTTAGAGCCTGCTGCAGACAAATTTTATGCAACACCTCCTAACTTTTTGGGAAGTGTCATTAGAGCAATAATATATATTACAGATAGATTCTTTAAAAAAACAAACAGCTATTAGTGGCTTAATTAATGTTTGTAATATGTCTTGAAACCATGAATTGTGCAATCTGTATGCGTGCTTATTATTATCAACCACTACAAGTAGATTGTTTACAAGTATATAACCTTGTCTTCATAAAGGATTAAGTTATGCATGCAGAGGCTTAAGTGTTATTTTATAAGATTCTGTACCAGCATCAGAATCATGTCATTCGAGTTGTGTTAAGATTAGTATTAGAGGAATCTTTACTGAAAAAGTACGTCCTCTTTTTTTTTTTTTCTTCTTCTTTAGCTGGGATATAGGGGAGTGGTCTGAGTGCAGCAAAACATGTGGCCTTGGCATGCAGCATCGACAGATCTTATGCCGGCAAATGTATGCCAATCGTACCTTGACAGTTCAGCAATACCGCTGTCATCACCTGGAGAAACCAGAGACAACCAGCACTTGCCAGCTGAAGATCTGCAGTGAATGGCAGATTAGGACAGAGTGGACTTCAGTAAGTATGATTGATTAACGTGGGGCATAAAACCTCAGAAAAAAATAAGAATTTTCTTCCAGGTATCACTAACCAAACATGGAATTTGTTTTTGTTTGAAACAAGGAAGCAGAATGTGAAAAGCCTTGGAAATATGTGAATCTTAGTTCAAAAAAATGCTGCTCAATTATGACCATTAAAGTTTACTGTTCATTCAGAAACTTTCAACCAGAAACAAGCTGAAAAAGAGCAATTGAGTAGTACAAAACACGCGGATGTGTGTGTACAGAAGTACACAAGCTTTCTGAGCAATGATTTTTTTTAAATACTCTATGAAGTGGAGTTGGGAGAGTCCCGTTAGGTTTGCCTGTGGTGGCAAACTTGCTGCTCTTTCTCATAGCATGTAGAGTTTAGTTCCAGGAGTTATTTAACCTTACGTATGTATTAAGGATAGAGTCAGTAGTTGCTGTTACTATAGTTGGTTTGAGGCTATGCCAAGACTTTCAGATAAATATGGATGGTACAGTTTTGAACTCTAATTCCTGTGTTGCTTACAAAAGGTTTGGCCAACCTGACAACCATCCTAGATACTTTCATGGCCATTGTGTGAAAGAGAAAATATCCTGGTGTTTTAGGTGTAGTGATAAACAAATCCTTTTCAGTTAGCCATGAAACAAAGCAAAAAAATTGTAGACCCGCTGAATTACGTGGGTGGATAGACCATGAAAAAATTCCAGCTTAAACCCTGAACCTAAACCTTCTTTTTCCTTACTGAAGTGCTTCCTTGCTCCTAATTCCCCCAGCCTGTGCTGGAATGCATGTCGCAGCACGTAGTGTGTTGCGCATGGGCTAGCTGCACTGGCAGTAGCAGCGCAGCTTTCCATCCACACAGTCACAGTAGGCTGAAGAGTCATGCAGCAGACTTTGTGTGGCTTTATAGTGGGTCTTCCCCCACGGTAAAGCCTATGTGAGTTAACTCCCTCAGTTGCTGCATTTCTGAGGCTGATGGTGGAATTGTTACCTTCCTAGTAATGAAGTATCTGTGATATGTTGATATATTTCTGATAAAAAAATCAGAAATACCTAGGCAGACAAATGTAAAGATATGTTGGTTGCTTAATTTATTACTCATGATGAATTAAAATCCATCTGGAGTTAAAGGACAGTAAAATTGATATTAAAGGTAAAGTTTTGATTATTTTATTGTGTTGATGATGAGAAAGGGGAGCTAGTTTTGTGTGTTGTTGCATTTTGAGAAGTGTTTCAGTGTACAGAGCCTTTAGAGGGTTACTGCATGTGGTGAATCAAGCTAAACAAATGCTTTAGAAATTGTAGCTGGTTGAATATCAGCATAATTCCAATAAAATTGTCTGATTAATTTCCTCTTGGAAGTAAAATTAAAGTTCTTGGCATGAGGAAGATCCATCATAAAGAAAGGAACAATTGAGTTTGCAAACTGGTTTCAGGAGAACATTTATTTGTGGTTGTGCTTACTGAAGTACAGTTAGGTTTTCACTTTGGAGACAGGTCTGTGATCTTAAAAATAAGCCCATCTTAAGATTTTAATGTGCTTACCATTTTTTCTGACATACAAATGTCAAAAACTTTTATCTAAATCTGATTAAAAAAAATGGCATTGTGGTAATTTCAAGTTTGGAGTCAGCAGACTAGACTCCGAGAGTAACTCTGGACAAAGGAATGAGGTATTTGGTTTTATTAGTATTTTACTATTTAATGACCTCACACATCTAGTCTGGGTTTTGGCCAGCGTTCTAGAGTGAACAGAAATAACTGCAGTCTGAAGATGAAGTCTGTGAGGTATCTTGCTGTAGGGAATATATTTTACATGATAAATAACTTTGACATGTAAATATAGTAGGCAGGATTAAGCATTCGAAAGCAAGGAAAAAACAATGAGGCTGCCTTTGGAAGCTCTGCTAGGTACCCTTGTATGCAGGTACTGCAGTCTTTAATCTTCAAATTCCCAGAGATTTTCCCCTTTAATTCTAGAGTGTTTACAGGACTCATCAAAACATTTCATGCATACACAGCATAAAATTATGTACCCATCTTCCTTCATGATCTGGATGCTTCACATCATCAGGCAGAGATATCAATAGCTGTCAGCATTCTCTGAGGTTGAAGAAAAGAGGGCAGGAGAAGGCGGCCTTTACTTGTAAGAGGGATTCAGAAGTTGTGTTTCTTTGCATTTGTCTTCCTTCATATCTGCTTAGAGGTCAAGATCAAAATTATGCAGAATATGTCAGCCTGCTATTCAAATACCAGCAGTTCATTTTGATAAGGTGCAGCATGGCCTGTTGAAGGTAGGATTTAATTTTATGTTTTCCAAATGTATCTGCATAGTATACTGTAGAATACCACAGACTGAGAATATGATTTAAAACTACTAGTGCATTTTTATTCCCTATTCTTAGCAATCTAGAGTAGTTCTGTGGATGTTTTAGCAGAAATGAATGAGCTGTACGTTTCCAGCTCCCTGATAAGCCACTGCAGTTCTTGCATAGAGTCCTGATGCAACCTCCCTTTTGTTACAGTGTTCAGTGCCTTGTGGAGTGGGGCAGAGGACCCGAGATGTGAAATGTGTCAGCAACCTTGGAGACATTGTTGATGATGAGGAATGTAACATGAAGCTGCGGCCAAATGATATTGAGAACTGCGACATGGGTCCCTGTGCTAAGAGCTGGTTCCTTACAGAGTGGAGTGACAGGGTAAGGCTCCTCATTATCTTTGCCCTGCCAAATCTTCCTAAAACAACTTAGGTGCATCGGAATGAAAAAATATACATCTGTACAGCCATAAAAGGAGTGGTCTTATTTTCCATGTTTATACTTGATCTGTTAAACAGGCAAGAGCAAACAAAAAAATAATGATCCCAAGGGCATCTTGAGTTTGTGTTAGATACAAGAATGCATAGAAGGGGCAAGCGTGTGGGTTACATGGCCAAACATCTGGATTTAGAATTGGCTCTGTGTCTGAACTTCCCAAAATATTGAGTGTGCTGAGATTTATTATTCTGCCTTGCTTAGCCCTGAGTCTCAAGATTCAGACTCTAAAAGTTTCCCTACTGTTTTTTTAAGGGATGTAGGTTTGAGGCCTGATGTCTGGGTTTAAGTTCACGCCATAAAACAATTATCCTATAGCTGTGAAAAAGAGGGGAACAATTTTGTAAACTCAGGCAAGGTTGATGCAAGCCTTTGTCCTTTGTGAACATGGATGTATTTTTTATTCCAATGAGTCAGATTCTCCACATGAGAGCAATAAGAACAGTGGTGATTTACCTTGTTTCGTGATTGGGCTCAAAGTTGTTGTTCAGTAGTGATATTTATATGCTTTCATTAAAAGGCTTACAAACATGGGCTAAGAAGAGCCTGGTATTTTGGTCCCTCTTGTGGATGCTTGCATATCAATTTCATCTGTAGACAAGTTGAGCCTTCACTCTGTAAAATCTTGATTGCATCTCCCTTTCTTTGACTGCTTGTTTTGGCAGGTAAATAATAAAATTTATCATTGAAGCTGTAAGATTACATTCATAACTTCATGGATTCGTTATTTAGATCATTTTGTGGTAGTATCTCTGAAAGCTAGGAACGTCTGGCTCATAGGTTATGCATTAGTTTGGGCACTCAGAAGATTTTCCACATGTTTTAGACGCAGAGAAGGAGGAGGAACTTCACAAGTAGGACAGGTACCTGGTATGTCACATAATTCTAAAAAAGCGGATCAGACTCTTGCTACAATTAAAGGCCTGCAAAATTTTCAGCCTCCAAACAACTGAAATAGATTTTATAAAGAAAAAAAAAATTATACACTAATAAATCTTTGTTGTTCTCATTTGAACTTTTTTCCCAGTTATTCACTGGAGGAGGAACTTCACAAGTAGGACAGGTACCTGGTATGTCACATAATTCTAAAAAAGCGGATCAGACTCTTGCTACAATTAAAGGCCTGCAAAATTTTCAGCCTCCAAACAACTGAAATAGATTTTATAAAGAAAAAAAAAATTATACACTAATAAATCTTTGTTGTTCTCATTTGAACTTTTTTCCCAGTTATTCACTCAGAAGTATAGGTATTAGTGCAAATGGCAAGGTTTTTGCTGTAGGGGAAATGGCAGTGCCTTTTATTTATTTTTTAACTTGTAGAGCTGTTCTTTGTACAGTGCTATTAAACTTGATATTTTACAAGTAAGAGAGAAAAATGCATTCTACCCTCAAAGACATCTTTCTTGAAAAAGCTGGCCCAGCTACTATCAGCTAGTGCAGTTCCACCACATAAAGCACACACATTCCAGTGAAGACTCTAGCATCAATGTTTTCTTCATTATTCTACATTGGTATTTTGTCCTCTGCAGAATTAAAAGTAGTTTTTGTAGCTGAAGGTTATGACTGTAGAATGTTATTTTGCTTATTTATATGTATTAAATGAGACATAAAAGTGAAGCAGGTAATGTGGAAAATGTTGGTGTTTTTTCTTACCACAAACATTTTAGGGTCAGAGAGTAAAGAATGGATTTTGTTAACTTCTCAGCTTATATAAGTGTACAAATTAATTTCTTCCAAATGCTTGCTACTGTAGTTGGCATTATTCACCATGACTTCTGCCAGCAGCGGGTTTGGAGTTTGATTCACAAAGAGAATGGAAGGGAACAGCTTATTTCAGGAGAAAAGTAGATTCGGGCTAGAATGTGCAGAATCTTCTAAGGTTCACACATATCTTATAACTCGGATGTTCAGAGATACTTAGTGGCAGTGATTCCCGTGGAAGTCAGTGGCATATAGGAGTAGTCAGTAGCTTTGCAAAGTCTGGCCTTTGGCTATTAGCTTGCTTATTGTGCCTTTTGAGGGCTGTTTTTTAGGATCAGAAGTCTCTCATTTTTTGAAGAGGAGTGTGTTTCTGTTGAAAGACAAGAGGACAATTCTGTCATGGAAATGGGCATTCCCAGGTGTATGGACTTTGCATGTGTAATTTCCCCAAACAATTCTTTAAAAAGTACTTTAGGCCAAGCCACACTTCAGCAATAAGCATAGATCAGCGATGGGCAGCCACAAATGGTTCAGATAAGCAGCCAAAAGTTCAAATACTTAAAGAAAGCTTGTTCAAACCTCTTGAGTCCGCAAAACTGTGGTGGAAATCTCACAAGAACAGACGTTCTTTGTGAGATTTATTACATGCCTACTTCAAGTCCCAGCTGGAAATACCACAGAACAGTCTTTCCCATTGTATTTTGACATTTCAGCCATGGCTAGAAATAAGAGGTAAAGAACTTATCATAACTTTTGAGAACGTTGGAGCTTTGAAATGGTTGAGTTCAAACTTGGTTACAGCCATGAGAGAAGCCTTGGCCTGTACTTTTCTAAACTCATTTTGCAAACACTTAATGTGTACTGTTGCACATGCAGCAAGTAGAGATTTCCAGAGGCCTGTCAGAGATCGGTTAGGCACATACTTTCTCTTTCAGCAAGGTATCAAACTTCATGTCTGGATTTATGTGATGCATGGGGCATTACAATATAGCCTTGGTTAATTAGTGAAACATCAAAAAAAAGCACAGTTACATAAAAATTACAATTGTCTTTGCTGCCAACAGATGTTAAATTTCATGATTTGATAACTGTGGTATATATTTGTGCAGAATTTGACAAGGGTATTCTTTAACACAGGGAGAGAAAGAGATGAATAGTCACATCTGAGTTTTAAGAAAAGGACAGGATCTAAATTAGGATTAAGATTTTGGAAAGATTTTGGGGTTTCTTATTTTACTGAAACCTTGCAAAGTTCTAATTGATGCAAAATCATGCTAGTTGCCTTCATTTTTGTTAATAGTTTCTGTGGTTCTGAATAGGAAGATTACATCATTAAATTTCCCAAAACGTAACTTCTGCAATACAACATACATGCATTTAGAAACCTGCAGAGCACATACAGAGTTGTGTGTAGGAATTATGTCTCCTTCCCAGGGTGGGCTGTATGTAGCTTTACTCCGCAAGTAACACTTGGCTGCCTTCTCGCCATGTTCTCCCATCTTGTTTTCCCACAACATGTATTCATGTATTTTATGGCCCACCTGTTCCCCCCCATGGCATTGACCTTCTTGGATTCAGTTTCTGCACAGACTGATTCTTTATACATATAATTAATCCTAAGTAATTAAAAAAACCAGCATGTTCCTAAAACAATACAGTTCTTGATTTGACTTGTTTGATAAACAGGTATCAGAGTCCATTATATGTATGTTACACACACACTCTTACCTGCAAAGCGTATGAGTTGTATGGCTACCATGTGGACACTGGTGGAACATGTAAAGGAAAGAAGGAAGGAAAGCAATTCGTCCTTAAGAAACAAATCCTTATTTTCCAACAAGTATATGCTCTGTTATTTGTCTTTGAAGTAGATCTAAACGCCATATTCTGAAATTCCTCAGGCTCAGTCTTGAGAGAAACAGAAATTTTTACTCATTTCAGTCAGAAAGATTACAGGTTAAAAGTCTCTAGCAGCAAAGTGAGACTCATCTTACTTTGTATGTGCCTGTCTTTACATTTACTGCTCTATCTTGAGTATAAATAAGAGAATTAACTTAAGTTTCATGGTTTTGTCTTCTACATGATCTTTAACCCCTTTTGATTATAGAGAGTCTGGACAAACTTTTGTGATATTTTTATGTGCGTGTGTAGAAAGATGGCTTCCTGTCTCATAATTCTCTTAAGATGTCATACTGTGTTAAAACGGCAGAGTTCCACCAAACTGCATCCATTAATCAGTAGAGTAAAGCTGGTGAACCTTACTGAACTTAGCAACAAAATTGGATTGATGGGAGCAGATGAGATTCTTGCAAACATTTCACATGACTGATTCTTTGACAGCTCTAATTGCTGGGAAGTTTACTTCTCCTATGGGTCAGAAGCGGGAAACTGCATTCTCCTGATTTACAGCAATGGGAGACTCACCAGTGTTTCCTTCCAGCTAACTGGAGCATTCCCCTCTTGCATTTTTGTTTATTCCTCATTGCCATCTCCTCTGTTCATTTGTTTCTCATTTTATGTTTAGAGCATACTTAGAAAAGAAGCCAAAATACAAGCAATTCTTAGATGTTAATGAGATTCTGAGGCCAAAATAAAATCTTGAGACGAAAGGAAAAATGCTGCACATCAGGGAACAAAATCAAAACAGATCAAACGCATGCTCTGGATTTCACTCTTCATTAAAAGGAGTAACAGCGATTCTTCTGTAATATCTTCCATTAGAGAGCTGTAGTATGCTTCGTAAAAATCAACGCTTTATTCCTCACAATCCTAAAGCATTACCTAACTGTTACAAGTGGGTTTGTTGACCAGTCAAATGTGGAACCACCAATGAATATTGTAACACACACTCTTCTTTCAGTGTTCTTTATTTAAATTTGGATAGCTCATGTAAAATCTCCTGGATCATGGAAAAAAACCAAAGGAAAAGAGACCACCATGGAGTTTGTGCAGGCGTTTCGTTATTTTTTATTATCGCTGTTTATTTGTTTTCAGTATAAAATTAAGATAAAATACCCCTTTCCATTGATTTCATGTGGGAATCATATGCAAATAGAAGTTTTGCATTTTTTATGTACAAATGTGTAACTCACTTCATGATTTGCAATGAAACACATAGCCAGGAGAGTTTTGAAGTAGACATTGGTAGAAGGGTGGCCAAGACCTAACAGAGATTTCTGTTTTCTTCTCTAGAGCTGATCTCTCTTTGCCACAATTCAGGTGCTTTAGATGAAAATCAGCATATAAAAGTCTGCATGGCAGGGGGGAGCCTTGCCAGCTAGGGCCCACAGTATCCCAGTCAGGTCAGCAGGGCAGGCTCAGAGGTGGCAGGCAGAGGCAAGAGTCCAGAGTATCAGGCAAGATCATGGTGATGAGGCAGGTCCAAGGTCAGGCTGGGAAATCAATCCACAGCTCAGGGCCGGTGACAGTAACCAGGGTCGGACACAGCCCAGTGATCCTGGGGCAGGTAATGAGGCAGGGTCAAGGTCAAGCTGGGAAGTGAGTCCAAGGGTGAGGGATCGATGAGGCCCGTGCCCAGGCTGTGGCTGGGGACAGACACATCTCTGATAAAGCTCAGGCAGGGACTGATGGACCGAGGCAGAGGTTCAGTGGAGACCCTGGGCCATGGGCAGGGGTGAGGCTGGTCAGGGCCAGTAAGGCATATTGATGCACTCAGGCCCCGAGAAGTCCTTACAGCTCTCAAAGCAACTGGTATTTATTGTATGAGCCAGAGTAGTGGAGAAGTCTGTTCCCTAATGTTACTTACTTCAGAGAGCATTAGTAATATGTAAATACCAACAGTGTTACCAATTACATATAAAGTAACAGTGCATATGTAGAAGCAATCATCCAGCTGAAGTGTCCAAAAATTCTAAGACCATATTTCAAAAGTTTGGTTACCTTGGAAGGATGCCATGGATCCACTAGACTAAATACAGAGATGGTTTGACTTCTGATCCAGCACCTACTGTATGCATAGATGCACTCTAAAGGGAAATAATTTAAATCAGGTATCAGAAAGTGTTTTGGCAACACAGATTTCTGACTACCCCTCCCCTCCCCCTTTTTTTAATGTTTGGGGGTTTTTTGGGATTTGTTTGTTTGTTTTGTTTGGTTTGGGTTTTTTTTGTTAAGAAATCAAGGCTGCTCTCAACAGTTTTATGTCCTTTGAAAATGTGCCCCCAGTCTTGGAACTGCGGCAGAAGTGAGCTTCTGAAATACAATTCTTAATTTATTATTGGGAAAACAAAGGTTACATAATCCTTCTAAAATCCCTTCTGAAAGGGATTTTCTAAGAGTAGGTCAAATAATGCTAAGGAGTTTCAAACATAGATCTTCATTTTTATTTTTTGCAGAAGTGTAACATCAGGAGGATGATTCATAAAAAACTTTACTATCTTGTGGGGAATAATTAAGATGACGAAGGTTAAAGTGTGGTAGACAGAAATCCTGCACAAATGGGGGCGTTCTACTGGAACTCAATTGGTTGTTAGTTAAAAATTTAATTAAGGCTAGCAATGATGCTGAGACCTGGGTGAAAGGACTCTTGAGTTCTGGTGGATTTCCTGCTGCCTCTTTCTTGTGGTCTGTTGCCCCAGTTGAGGGTAATGAGTAGGGCTGGCACATTAGTGAAAGGGAACTGGCACTGTTAAAGGGTTTTTTTGCTCCACTGTGCCCTGTGGCTGTGACAAAAATTCAGGCTTCCACTTTCTAGTTCCTTTGCAGGAACTAGCCTTATTTTCCTGGACTGCTGTTGCAGTTGTTTTCTGACAACTATCAGAGCACTGGATTAGGTTTTTTTTTTAGTTTCAGTTTTTAATGGGAATGGAAAGCTTCTGAAACTGAACTCATGAAGGAAGGACTTCAGGAAGAGGAGAAATGGCAGACTCCGTAAAACTAGGGAGGGTGTTCCACAGACTAAAGTTTCTGAGGAATTTTCTGCCAATTAAAACAAGACAGTGAAACAAAATATCTTTAATAATAGGACCAGAACAGAGAAGTTGCAGCTTGTGAAAGTTCCTCATGTCATACAATGTTAGGTTATGGCAGTTACTATGTATTAATGCAACAAATCAATGGCACAAAATTGAAAGTAGTGGGTGTGTCAGTTGTGAAAACCAAAGGGAAAGGATTCATTATCCAAACACTCCCCACTCCCTGCCTTGGGCTTTGGAAATCATGGCTTTCACATGGAAGATTTTTACTGAAAGGAGGAAAAAAACATGAAAAACCAAATACTTAACGCAGAAACATTCAGGTTTAAGTTTGCTTTGTAAATCCTTTGAGGGTAGTTAATCTGTAGTAAAATCTTGCAGCAGAGGGTGGAACAACCCTATACCTTCCCGTTTGGTATTTCCTTTGTTATTTGATATGTAAGCCTAGTTCATGCATAATCATTTAAAACATAAGACTATGGAGATTTTCTGGATGACTTTATAGACTAAACTTGTTCCCAGCTCTGGTTTGCAAAGCAGAAAAGCAAATTAGATTGTCAAATGAAAATTACTTAGAAATAAGAAAAGTATTTGCAGAGTATATGCATAGTTCTCTCTGCATAATGTAATTGAACATACTTGCCAAGGATAGAATACGAACAGCCACGAAATTTATTTCTGTACAGTGTGTTTGAAAGGTGGCCATTTTATGGGGCTCAGTTAAGCAGTCAGTTTACGTAGGAGTGGACTGTTTGAAATGGGTTTGGTTTAGTTTAGTTTTAGTTTACATAAACACGAAAATGTTCACTACTAGCACAATTTACATCATTCTTGTATTTTCAAGATTTTGCCAGTTTACTTTGAAAAGACCTCCTTAGCCATCAAATCTGGTTTGCTGAGGAGGTAAGTATGTTTTACATACCTGTGTGAAAGTGGAAAATTTTGTTGTACACCACCAACAAAAAAAGGTTCATTATGTTACTTATAGGCATCATTTAAGAGAAGCTTAATTATTCGATCTTGCAGATGGAGGAAGAAACCCTTCCAAACTATGAGCAATTTTTTCCTATTCCTGTGGAGTACATAAACATCTCTTTAAATTCTGAATTTCTAGTTTTTCCAAAATTGTATTTTGTTTGTTTAAAAAATGACTTGTAAAAAGTTGAATCACTTTTTTAGTTTTCTAGGCATTCCATTTCAGTAAAGCTTTGCCCTTCTATTTGAACATCTTGTGAAAGAAACCAACTTGCTGATAGGAAAAATGTTTTTCTATACTGTATCCGTGGAATAAATACAACATGACTACATGTTTCACACAAATAAGCACTATTCTTCAGTGTGAGTGAGTAAGAGTAGTTTGTAACCAATTGTACATTCAGTCCCTGGTCTGTCTCTTGAGAAGATGAATGACTGTATTGGTTAATCCCATTATTAATAATGGTGCTATCTATCATGGCATCTGCTATTCTGTAGTTGAACTACTGGATGTGAACCCTCCCAACCCACGGGAGCCAAATCAAGCTAGTGGTCAACTCTGTGTCTCATTACCAGTTCTTTGAATCATTCCTACTTTTATTCAATAAAATTTACAAAAATGTTCCAATACAGAGTTACATTCATTCACAAGGAATGTACTGTTCTTTGTGGAAGTAATACACAGTTTCTTCTAACTAATTACATTGTATGTTAAAAATAAAATCTGAAGTGTCAATCAGATGCATCTTTTTCTCCCATATACTACATACTTACTTGTGGTTTTCTTTGCATGTGTAATATAATTGTTTGTAATTGTTTAAATTCAATCATATACATATCTTTCAGTGAGCTGCACATGGGTTTTTCTTTATTTTAACAGTCTAGACATGAAATGCCAAATGCATTTTAAGAGAAGAAGAAAGAAAGGGAAGATTAAGAAAGAATTAAGCAGCAAAAAACAGTCTAACACAAGAATTGATTATTTCCCTGGCATGTTTCTGTTTTTTAAATGTCAATAGTTTGACGCTGCCCAAAACAGTGGAATATTGGAGACTTTCCCACTGAAGTAGATGAATGACCAAACTGTAAGGGCTTAAATGGAATTTATCCTGCGTGATTTATGGATGACATGCATACTATCTCCGAATATGTGACATAAGAATCTGCATATCACTATTTATTAAGAGCTTTCAGAATTTAGCAGTGAAAAGTTGAGAATGGTGAATGTTACTGGGAAGTCATATCATTAGAAAGCAACATTGAATTTACATAAACTTCTATGGCCACCTCTTCTGCTAAAACTAATTAAGAACTTATAGTTGAAACAGATTGGGCAATAATTAGTGGTAGTTATAGTTATTTGCTGAGGATTTACCTGAATCTTTTGAAACCACATTTCAAAAAATTTGATATTTTTCTACTTTATTGTGCTCTCATACTCTGTCAACTTGTTATATGGAAAAGTTCCAGAATGTGCTATGCAGTCATTTTACTACCAATGCCACACCCCTCAGAGTCTTCCTAGCCTCGTCCTTTTAACCAGTGTAAGAGTTCACCTGGCTGACAGCTTGAATGGTTGGAGGAGAAACTCAGAGAACAATTCAAAGGTTGAAATACGACTGCTGTCTGAAAAGCTGCTTATTGAAATTATCCCTTCTCAGATCTATTAATTGGTATGCAAAAAGATGAATAAAATGAAAACTGAAAGAATTTACAGACAGGAAGAAAGAAGGAAAAGTAAGAAAGCTAATACAAAACTATAAAAATAGATTTCTTTCTTCCCTAATCCTTCAATTTCTTTCACTTGTGACTGTAAAGGACAGGTACTACTTGTAGTGTATTCAGAAGTATGAAACTGTAAGACGATTTGCTACAGCTGAATTACAAGTAAGAATAATCGACTTTGCATAAATTCATTTACTTTTCATGATTGTTGCTTCTCCTCATTTCATTGTGCAGTCTGGAGGACAGACAAGTGAACATGTTCTGTCTTTTGCTCCCCAGTGTTCTGCAGAATGTGGTGACGGAGTCCGTACGCGTTCAGTGGTTTGTATGACGAACCATGTCAGCAGTTTGCCTCTGGAAGGCTGTGGCAATAACAGACCCTCTGAAACAACTCCCTGTAATAACGGACCCTGTGCTGGTAAAGTCGAGTGGTTTGCTGGGGGCTGGACACAGGTAAGCTCTATATCTAATGTATGTATTTGTTTTCTGCTGGTATTTTAATTTAAAAAAATGTATTTTTGTGCAATGAAGATGTGTGCCATAAAGTATTTGTACATCTCTGTGGAATATTTGGATTTTTTTTTTCTGTATTTTGCTGAGTTGATGTTCAATACTTTTCAGCACCTGCTGTTTTTTTACTTTGATGAAAATAAGATTTTGTTCTTCTTCTCCTCTGTACCTTCATTTTTATTTCTCATCTACTGACCGAGTGTATTTATAAAATGAAAGATAACAGAAAGCTGCTTAGCATATTCAGGTGAACACTAAAGCAACAGATTCGCACCTTTTAAAGATAGAGCCTTTGTGATCTTGCATACCTGCAGGGATACATATATATATATATGTATATATATTTCCAAAAGATAAGTAAGACAAAAAACAATGACTAAACCCAAGAGTTAGCTTCACTATTGTTGTGCTGAAATTCGTGATAATAGGTGAAAAGAAGAAAATTTGGTTAGTGGCCTGTATCTGATGCTTTTTCCTCAAGGTAAATTCTTCCCTTGATCCACATCTCAATAGTCCTTCCCGTTCTAGATAAAGTTTCTGCTGTCAGGAACAAAGGCATTTCAGAAGCTGTCAACTGGTGCCCAGACACTTACATCCCTTTGTGTAGGCTCTCATATAGCCTAGAGAGCCTTTCGGACTGCTGGTACCAGCACTTCATCGAGTTGTTAGGGAAAAGTCTCTTGGCTGTGCTGTTAACTCACTGCATTTCAGATTCCAAGATCCTTCCAGGTGATAAGGAGTTGGAAATTAAACTGGTATAGCTGAGGTGGAGATTACAGGGCTACTACTATGCTAATGCTTTCAAGTGTAACTGGTAATTATTTGTATTGCATAAGAGTAATAGCAAATTCAGATTTAAAACATACTTAGCTGCAGTTCTAATAACAGATAAAATCTGTGCCTTGTTACTTACACCACTCCATGCAAGTGAATAGGACCTTTGTATCCATTCTTGCTACCACAGAGAGAAGCGTTCAGTAAGGTCATCCTAACTCCCCCCATTCTGTTCTGAATAAGAAAGTTTCCATCCTTTACAATTTCTTGTTCTTTTAAGCTAATGCACCACCTTTCCTTGCATGAGATGGAATTGTTTGATGCATACCAAAGGTACAAAGTCTTTGCTGTATGTTATCTCAAAGAAGTGTCTGACAACATCTGTTCTACTAGCCAAATCCTGACTTCTAAATGCCAGAATGAAAGCAGACAGTCAGTAGACGGGAGCAGGAGGGAGCACTGGTGGATGACCTTCTGTATTATGCTCTGCTAGAGCTAAGGCTGAATGTTAAGATACTGTCTTTTGGAGGAACCATTAAAAGAGAGCAGTGATAGAGATGTTAAATGTTAAAGAAAGTGCAGTCACGTTATTTCCTGTAGAATTTATTTGGGTGCATTCATCTCAAAGTTCTTCGTTCAGCTCAAAGTTTTTGTGAGTACCTGGTAAAGGGATCATAAATTCCACCCAAAATATAAACAAAATCCCCACTTTTAATAACATTTGATTGGTTTAGGCTAGAAAAAGCCTTTGAAAATCGTAGTCCTTTACGCAATGTAGAAACCAATATGTTGCTGGAATCATCTTCTAAAAACCTTTTTACAAGTGCCAGGAACAGTATTGTGTGTGTATTTAACCTTTAAATGGGCAGTAAGAGTCCATGTGAGTCAAATTTGCTTTTCAGAACTGGAATCAACACTGCATCACATAGATACTTGCAAACATGAAAAGAACACCCTGGCAGATCAAGGCATTTTCTAAAAACCACACAGAATGTGGGGATTTGTAAAGCTGCAAAACTGTGCTCTAACCTTATAACCCTCAAAGGTTCAGTGCAGTGCATACAATCCTGCTTCAGCAAGAAGCAATAACACTGTTTATGGAGAAAGTAAGTTATGCTTCTCTTTTTATTAGAAAAATAAATACCAGTTTCTTTTTGTAGCTCAGGTAAAACTACAGTTTTAGATTTCTTCAAAAGCACACTTAGAGTCGTATGTCTTCTTCTTCATAAAAATAATTAGAAATATATTTTGAGTCTGTGGTACCATGTGGAATAAAAAAACACAGAAGTACAGTTTTAAACACTGTAACCATTTTTAAGATTAAAAATTAAGTATGTAATACCTGACACTTACAATCAGTAGTCACTTGATTAATTAAGTCATTACTATATCCTTCAGCATTTTCTTATCCTGGTTCCTGCTGGCTACTATGTTAGTACTACATACAAATAATAATAATAACCAAAGGTTTATCTAGGCTACTGTTGTGGTTCTGAGAGATAAAAACCCTACTGCAGGAACTTAAAGAATACTTTACCCTTTTCCTTTCTCTTCAAGTCACACATATGCCAGTGATGGAAGGAAAGATACAGTTAAGTTCATTTTACTGAGGAAAGAACATATAAAAGTAAGGAAATAGATTTTGGATGTTAGTGTCTAGGTATGTGTCCAAGAATAGGGAATAAACAAAACTTTACAAATTTTCCTGTTTGAATATTAATTTAAAATGCAAGTATATGTGTATTGTTTTATTTCAGAAACAAATAACGTGGAGAAACGTTACTTTGGAAACAAGTTGAAGGACATAAGTAGAATAACAAATTCCACCACTTTTTTTTTGTTCTCTGATACAGTGCTCTACTGAATGTGGCAGTGGAACTCAACAGAGAGAAGTCATTTGTGTTAGGAAAACTGAAGGTAATTTTGATGTTTTGAATCCCTATGAATGTTCATATTTGGAAAAACCTCCCAGCCAGCAATCCTGCTACCTCAAACCCTGTGGATCTAAGTGGTTTCATACAGAATGGAGCACAGTAAGTCTGTCATGCTTTTCTATATCTAGTTTTGTTTGATACATCTTTTTCTGTGTGTATTGAAAGGGAACACTATTTGGATAAAACCGTTGATCATGAAATTGACTTAATCTTGCACAGGAATGATACTAAAAAGAAAGCATACTCTTTATATCCAGTGGAGCTTAGGAAAGTTAGGAAGTACCTTGACCAGAAGGAGACATTGCATAGTTGTCTTTTCATCACTGATCTCTTCTTCCAAGAATCTTCCTGTTTTATAAAGTTGGTTTGCCCCTTAATGAGACTATGCAGTGCACTAAGAAGTTCTTTTCAGACCTCTAGTTTCATTAAAATTAAGGAGCATTTAATAAAGAGTGAGGGATGTATTCAGTTTTTAAAGTCAGTTTTACCATAATATTTTACTGTAAACTCCTCACTGTAATACTTAGAACTTTACTGAGAGAAAACTTACTGTAAAGCTTCATGTATCTTCAGTTTCCCCTGGAAGTAGACCAGCTACATTCACCAGTACCACAAAATGCTTCGAGTTCATCTATCTTTCCATCATTTCCTATACCTGACAAAGCTTACTGGATTTTTACAAAAAATCAGCGTTTTTCTCTTAAATGAAAATCAGAAAGCCCATTGTCATCTTAGAATGAAAAATTATGTGAAAACTACTGCATCATATCTAATGCAGTAACTTACTCCCTTCCTTGAGCCTTAAATCAAATTCAGAATGACAGCTCTGAAATGTGGAAGCACCTCAGATGCCTTCAGTTTGAGTTCCCTTAGTCAGGAACCTTTGGAAATACCTCATCCACATGATGTGAGAGAGAGAAATTATTTTGGTTTTCCCTTTTACTAAATGCTCAATTATTTGACTGGCCTACTGGCAGCACTAGAAAGCAGAAAAGAAGGTAGAATGGTTTTAACAAAACAAATCAGCTGAAGGGAATCCTGATTTTTTTTCCTTAATTGCAAGTATAGATGTTTATTTGAAAACAGCATCCAAGTTAGGCTCATAATAAAGCCATGTAGATCGAAGTATGTCCTTTGATTTTGCTGGAAATTCTATGGATTCTTTTGAGCTGTTAGTTTAGATTAAATAACTTCCCCTTAGCAAACCCATTAGCAAACCCATTTTCAAATGTGAACCTGCGGTGTGTATCCACAAGAGATACAGCCATCTGCATCCATAGAATGCAGCAGATAGATTCCTTCTGAAAGTGAAAATATATGCTCTCTTTAGCAGGCACAGAAGAAACAAGGTGCTAAGACTCAGAATCTGATAGGTATTTAGAGATCCCTAGTTACTGCCTACTTCCTAAGAAGTGGTGTCTAAAAATCCTTAAAGGTCTAAGCCTTTGTGACCATCTTCACTGTAGGAATGAATACGTATGCTAGCTGAGGTTTTATAAGATCTTATTCTAAGCGTTTTTCAATTCTCCACAGAGTCTGTGGTATTTCCTACTGTTAGACTAGAAGAGAAAGGATTATGGGGTTAGCTGCGAGCAGAATAGCTGGTTCAAAGCCCCTGTACTAGCTTTTGAAACTGCCCAGTTCATATCTTCAGCAGACTTTTTATATGACCTAGGATAAATGGCGTGGCCTCTCAGTCAGGGAGATTAAATGGCTGGCCAGTGCAGAATGCTGGGTTTTGTGTATAGTGTGTGGTATGTAACATCTAAATTCTGTCTTGGTTCCATTTTAAGTGCTTAAGATCTCTACAAACCTGAACTGAAGTTTTATTGTTGGATGTGGGATAATTACAATATTCTATACAGGCATGTAACAAGAGTAATTATATAAAAAACCGCAAGTGTTCTATTACTGTCGCCACAGGGCTATGTCTTTTCTAAAGTGGGGAAAGGTTGTACTTCAAAGAGCAATCTAAGAATATATTACTGAGAATATTTTAGTTAGTTTGCTACAATATCTGATTTTATGATAGTGATAAGTTGTTTTTGCAATGTTAGGAAAAGAAATAATTATGCCAAAAAAGTCAGAAAGAAAACATTCTTACTAGTTTGGGGCTATTAAGGTTTTAATCATTATGAATGACCCAGGTTTAATTAAGTTTGTGAGCATTTAGGTCAAACTGGACAGTGAGCCAAATCTCAAAGACCTCACTCAGGCGAAATTCTTGAAGTCAACAGGGGATTTGCTTCAGTATGAGCAGAAATGTGTAATAATTGGCTTTAAAAATACCATGACAAGCAAGTACAAAAGTCTCTGGCTTCATAACAGACTGTGAAGCAGCACAGAAATACTTTCTTTAGAAATTCAAAGAAACCTCTAATGCTTAGTAAAATTGTTGTGCTGCAAGAAGTGAAAAATAATTGAGCTCTAGAAAAAAGGCAATTAAAATTATTCCTGATTGTATATAAATGGAGGCAAAAGGGCAGTGGAGGGCAGTGCAGTCAAGTAGTAAAGTTCAGTGCAGGAAGTTCTTGAAGTAAGAAATATGAACACTGTGGAAAGAGTAGATTTGGGAGATATGTATAAATAAGCAGAGAAGAACAAGACTAATTAGAGAAGCAAGAAGTGAACTAATTCAGAAAGGGAAATAATCTAGCATGCTTTCAGTTGTCTACCACATTTACTTGTCCAGTTGTTGCCCCTGTGGTCAAAAATGTTTTTGAACCTTTAACGAAATTGCACCTGTATGTTAAGGACTTTATAGTCAGAAAACAAAAAACAACAGAAGTGGTGAAGTTGATAAAAGGCTACAGTGATATCTGGGTCTGGCTTCAAGGTTTCCATTTTTTTGTTTCTGTATTTGCACATCTCCTATGGTCTTCATGAACTTCAGCTTTTGTGTTTCAGTGTTCCAAATCCTGTGAAGGAGGATTTCGGGTTCGAGAGGTACGATGTCTATCGGATGACATGACAGCCAGTACTCAGTGTGATCCACAGCTTAAACCAGAAGAAAAAGAACCATGTAATACACAAGACTGTACCCCTGAAATAGGTAAGGAAGAGGAAGCTTCTGTTTTAACTATGGAACTCCATCTAGTGGAGAAAATATTTAATAATCTTGCAGAGGTTTTAGAGTATGTTTTCTTTATCAAGTTCAGGGTTTTATTTTTACACAAAATACAGCTCTCTCCTATGGTGTAAAAGTAGATTTTCATTTCTGATTAAAAACGTTTTCCTTATAACATGTAAGAAACTGGCTTACTTTTAAAGTTGCTGAGAATGTGAGAAATCTGCTTCTGTGAAAACCGTACATATAGGGTGTTTTTATGCAGCCTCCTTGCATTCTCAAAGGTTTCTCTTTGCAGAGTCTTTAAAACAAAAAAAGGGTTGTGTATGATATAATGTATTTGGTAACAGGTTCTATAAGAACCAGTAATATTAAACTAAGACATTAAGGGCAATTAAGCAGTTTTCTTTTATATATAGTAAATATACACATACACATAATTTGGCATTGGAATTAATCATTCATCTCATACAGATTTGATTTTAATAGTAATGAAAATGACTAGGGAAAAAGAAACAGTTTTAACTCTAACATTCTACAACAATTTTCAGTTGAGAATTATTCTTCAACATAATGTAACTATATAAAAAACCTGGTATACCAATATTATTAAAATTTTATTGTATTTGTGTTGTTATTTCTTTGTTTAAAACAGGTTTGTACAGAATTGCTCATCTACTATTAGTGTTTTGTCATTCAGTCTTTTTCTTAACACCTCAGTTTCTGTGATCACATACATGATCATATGAAAGTCTTAGTTGTCACTTAGAAAAGTATTTCTAACCTTGTTGGTTGTAAAGGAAAACTTCAAAATATGAACAAACCACATCCTAACAGCTTAGAAAAATGGGGAATGTTAAGAACACCAACTTTTGTCTTTTTTTAATCTAGTTATTTTAAACCATTTGTAATATTTGTAAGGAGGGAGGTGGTTTATGATTTTCCAGTATTGAGATTCGTCAATACTTGAAAATAACATTTGCAGGTTCTGGTGCCATCTGTACACTGCCACAAGAGATTAGTACCTGTGAATCTGAAAATGAAGTGGACAGGTACCTAAGTGAAGAATACTAGAGACTTTCCTATCATCTTTATTCAAGACAAATTTTGTGTTTAAAAAAACAGCAACAAAACCCCCCCAAAACTCCACAACTGTATAAATGGGGATAGGTACATTTCTTTCACAGTTTTATGTAATTTAAATTAAACATAGAAAAACTTGAACAATCTAACTTATTTGCGTAGGTAGCCTACTTTAACCTGACAATGAATGTTTAAATACAGGTCCAAGGGATTTTACATGGTAAAAAGAAAGGGGATTGGTTATTTGTTGCTCTAATACTGTTTTCTTCAGTTTTTTCTCTCTTCCTTTTTCTCCACAGATGAGAACTGCAAAGATAAATACTACAATTGCAATGTGGTGGTTCAGGCCCGGCTCTGTGTCTACACCTATTACAAAACAGCCTGTTGTGCATCCTGTACACGTGTGGCAAACAGACAATCAGGGTTTCTAGGACGTAGATAACAAATACTCTTCTACTCAAAGCGGCAATGTCAGTCTTTGGATGGAGCTTGAACAGTGTTACTGCTTTGACCACAGCAGGTTTTAGCTTCTTAGAGATGGTTTTTTATATTGCTGAGTACATCAAGACTATGGTTAAATCTCACACCCTTTCAGTTACAGTTATTGTGCAGTTATCTTTTTTAAAATGTTTGTTGTAAACCCATGATCTTTTTAAAGCATTAATTTTTAATGATACTATACTTTGCACCTGCTCATCAGATAGTTATTTAAAGAACATACCTGCCTTAGTATTGTGAAATTAATGAAAACTAACTGAATCACAGGCAATTACCAGAGATATTTGACCAGCATGGATACAGCTGCTGTATTGTTTTCTGAGTGCTTACTCTTGCCTGGTATTTTGGACTGCCTTAAATTAGACGACTAAATCAATGAAACATGCACATGAGGAAAACTACTTCACAAAGAACCAGACCCTTGAGGACCCGTTTATCATCAGTTTCTTAGCACTCTAACATATATTTTTAATTACTTCAGTCCATTCATAATAAATTAGAGTCACTGTTAAGCTCTCTCAGTTGTACTTTTAACTAACTTCCTGTCCTCAGGCAGCAAATATATATACACTTGACTGCCAAAAAGTGCCTTTATATTTAATTCATAAACTCTTGAATTTACACTTTTCTAATTTTGTATGGATTTTAAAATACATTACCTACCAGAGTGCCACTAGTGTCTAGTCCTTCAAGTCTTTAACAACTGCAGCTGTCAGTGAGACAGATTTACCAGAAAGGTGAAGAGCCTTTGCTGGTATAAAAAAAATGATTGTTTCCATTGGCAAGGTCTCTTTCCTGTAGGGCAGTTATTTCAGTGAACTGGTATCTTGTCTAATGTCTTGTTTCTGCACTATTGCTTAACAACTACCGTACCAAAGTACTTTGTCCAGACCTAGTCTGGATATGTCACCAGTTTCTAAAACACCCACCAAAGGATGCAGGCCTCTGTGCTTTATAGTAGTCTGTAACTCTTGGTATCAGGCAGCAGTATGAGTGTAGTAGCTGAGTACCTGTAAAAAGGAGATCTTAGCTATTGACATTCTTCAGGTTTTGATCAGTTATTACAACATACTTGTCTTTTTTTAGTCAATGTTTCATCCCGCAGATCTATTCATATCACTCCTTTTCTACTACTCAAGAATGGCTCCAGACTTAGAGCTGAATTTAGGTGGTGATTTTTCATTTCTGCAATTACTGTACTCAGTCTTGGGACTTGCTAAAAGCAAACAGAATGTGCTGTGCAGTGCAGATGAAAGTTTTTGCATTATCTGCACATTCTCTAGCCTTTACCTGAGAGGTCTTTCAAATATGTAAATAAGGCTGAGGGAAAAAAGAAGCACCTCTGCTTATTCAGCTGTTTATTACAGCATATCGCTTGTAAATTAGTGATACCCAATTATGCATCTATTTCTAAGGTGCCTGTTTCTGAGTTGAAAAACAGTTTTAATAATCTATGTTAAGTCACTCCCAGTGATGTGATATAACAGTGATTAAGGTGTCCTGCTACTGATGAAGAGCCATGTTTGAGCCTCATTGTGTATTCTTTTCTTTTTACTACTTTGGTGGAGAGGATGTAGAAGAGAGAATGGGGCACTGGGAGGCAAAGGTTGCTGGGTGTGGTGCTAGTCACATCAGTTTGTGTGCTGGAAGCCACAGGAAAGTGGAACTCCTGTAGTCTAAAAAGCTGCCTTGGATTGAGACAACCTTAGATTTTTTTATTCGGTCACTTGTAAAAAATGTATTTCGGACATGATGAACTACTACTGTTTGGCTAAGTGAAATGAAGAAGTGTTTCTCCTAAAATTTGAAGTTACTCTTTGTGACTGTAAACCAATAATGTCATTGGCTGTTTCTGTACACCTTGATTTGGGCTTTTTCACTGTAATTAATTCATAGCTGTTAGAAACAGAAATGCTAATTAGAAAACCTTTCATCTGAGTTCACGAATCTTTCACAGTCCTATTCCCTTGTATTATGAAGATTTATCCATGAAGATAACTTACAGATTTGTGATCATATTATGTTCCGTAGATTCTTGACCAAAGAATGATATGGAGAAAGTGCAGCATAAACAACTCTAGAATCCAGTATTTGTAAATACAGATTTTCATCTGGATATCTCATTGCAGCAAATCTTGACATACAGTATATAATTTTTGCTGTTGTCTCTTTTGTCCTAAGGAAGTGTATCCTGTCAACTTGAGGGAAATATGTGTTCCATAAAAAGGCTTTCTGAAAACCACAAGGCGAATGAAATGCGGAGAGGTAATCAGGTTTGCAATCAGTTCATAGAAAATAATCTGCTTGCACACACTTTTGGCTGTGAGACAGTCAGTGACTCAGCACATAGACAGGCGATCCTGGTCTTTTATAAAATATGTTATTTTGCTCTGGAATATATGGCCATTGGGTTATTTTACACAGGTGATCATCTTGTAGGCTCCATTAAGCTGCCACTAAAGTAAACAGAATTCATGGGAGCTAAATATCAAAGAATATACACATACACATAACAATATAACCCTGTATTACGCCTAAGGTATACAGCTTTGTGAATTGAATGCAGTGAGTTATTGTACTTTTGTTTTTTTTAGTAAAGGGACAGTTTTCAGATGTACCAGATAAAACAAAAAAGATAGTTTCACCTAATTAAACATCTAATGGTAAGGAAACTGCCAGAATGTTGCTGAACTTAATCATTTATCATCTCTTCTCATGTGTCAGCATAATCAAAATAGTTGTTCCTGCAAAATGAACTAATGAACCCTTCTTTTCAGCACTTTGATGTACTAATATTATCTACACAAAGTAAGTGCTATGCTAAGATTTCACCATCACACAAAGTGCACTTTTGAAATTGTGACTGTAGCAAGTGTTTGTTCGCAGTGCACCAATTTAGGATGATGCCTGCAGAGGGCCAGATTTTACTTCCACTGTAAATCGGAGGCCTTAATAAATGCAGTAGACTTAGAGCAGGTGTAAAACCAATATAAGTAAGAAATTATGCAGGCTTCTGATTTGAATGCTTTAATTTCTTTCTCTGATATTTTAACATCCGTCAAAATCCTGCAGAATGGTGGGAAAAAATGCTTCCTCGCCTTAAAGATTTTCACCTTACACAATCCAGTAAGACCAGAGTAAGCGTAGGAAGACTCCTGTAGATAGTTGATTTAAAGAGTCTAAGCAGTCTAACTGCTTATAGGGGTAAAATCAGCATATAGCTTTCATGTCTTGCAGACATTCAGCTGGCCAAAATCGGCTCCATCCAGAGCAGGCTCTGTGTCTCAAAGCACTTTCCTTCTGCAATTGAGGAGTGCTGGTGCAGTTGTTTATCAAGTTATCAAGGGTCCATCAGGGTTTGCTAGCTCCTGTGCATGTCAGATCCAAGTATGGAGGTAGAATTGCTTGTGTATAACAATTGCATGCCAAGTTTGAGAGCAGTTATTAGCAGCACTGAATTCATGGAGTTCTCCCTTCCTTACGCTAGGTGAGAAAACTGAAGATGGTGTGGAAGCGTGAGGGTTGCTCCTGTGGGAATGACCCCGAGTCTGACTTGGCCAGCAATGAGACAGAGTTAGTATTTGCTTTAGTGTCTCTGACCTTCAGTCCCCAGGGCTCTGAATTGGGGAAGGGCTTGTTAGCAGGCAGTTGAGTGCTGGGGAGTGCAGTGCAGGAGACACCTGGGTGTTCTTGCAAGCCTGCTAGCCTTGAAGTCCAGCTCTAGTGTATGCCCACTGACTCGATGCAGGACTACCTCAGTATCTCTGCACAGGGAACTGGCGTCTTCCTCATTACACGCATAATCTATTTTCTTTTTTTTCCAATACTCCAGCAAATGGACAACTTTCTGTACGAATAAAGCAGTGTTTAACATCAATGTTGTTGGTTAGATCCCACTTTTATGACAATGTGGTGCAGTTCAGAGTTTGGTCCTTTTATACAGGAAAAAAACCAATGTGTTGCAGAGCATGTTAAGTTAATGACATGTTAATGTAAAGATGTATTTTAGGTTACTTGTTCATAGACTTGATAAAAGTGGTCAGTATAGCCCTGACTCAAGTGCGTACAGAAACTCGTAGAACAGAAGACCACATGGGGCAGCAGTATTGCCAGGACCTTACTTTGCTTATGTCTGAGTCCGAGGTGCCACTGGTCACCACTGAGGGAGGAAGGAGGTAGGTGCTGGAAACAGCTTATGGCTAGTAAAGGGGAGGTTATGCGTTCCTGAAGGAAATACTTTGCTTCCACTCTTTATAATCTATACCACCGTAAACAGTAAAATGTGCTTTCCAGGGCTTTGCTTTTCTTCATCCTAATCCTGACCTGTCTCCCTTTTACACCCACAAATGTTCTCCTCTTCCTCTTATCTCACCTCCATCCCTTTGTCCTTTGGATGACAGTATTCAATTTTGCCAGAATTGATCCTGAAAAATCCTGAACTGGCCATTTGGTTGATAAGAATCTGTGTTAGAAATAAGCCCAGCTATGGAGAGAGCTATATTCCTGCCAGTCCAGTGATTTTTGTGTGTGTGTGTGTGTCCATGTTGGCTAGTTTTAAATGCATAGTATTAAAGTACGTACTGAATTAATTCCTGTGCAGTGAACAGAGTATGTTTGTGGGGGATACATTAGCTGTTGTTTAGAAAATGGAGTAAAATAATTATTCCTATATCAGAAATGAAAAATCATCCACTAAGCATTTTCAATATATTTTAGAGCAAACTTGTCATGATTATACTATCTCAATAGTGTGAGTGAAATTCAGACCTGGTGAAGGGAGAAAATTCTATTTGAGAGAATTCACACCAGGCCTGAACTCAGCTCTTCGCTTCTCAGCTTTTAGCAACCAGAAGTTCTTAAGAATGTGAGTTCCCAGTTTCCTATATCCCCATTTACTATAATGGGTTATAGATAACTACCACTATATCTGGAGAGGAGGGGAGCTTAATTTTGAGAAATCATTGACCTTCCAGCAACAATTGCTGCTTGCCCTGAACTGTTTTGTCCGTGCTGCGTTTGGGTCTCTTGAGACCAGTGGCCTCGGCAGGGGTTAGGTACATACGAGCTTGTGAAGTCCCATCATAGTCACTCAGGATCTACATAGAGGATCAGGAAGGACTGGAGACAAAAGAACCCTAACTTTTTTAATATGTATAAAATTGTCTACTTGACCCTCATAATTGATTTTGGCAGAAGGATATA